CTAGGGAGCAATGAAACTAGAGGGTCAACGTGCCATAAGGGCAACTAGCACATTCATGAGATCAGCAGAGGCACCCTACTATTTCTGCCATAACAGGTTTCCTTTAAACTGGTGAAACAACCCCAAAATGATAATCCTAGAGCAGTTTCTGTATTGGTAGCAGGCAATTTATGGGATTCCCATGTCTCAAATAGCCATACACTTAGGGAAATGTACTCTCCAGAATATTATTGTGCGACTATGCATATCATACTTTCACTCAGGGACAGGGACCTCCTTACCATCTTGTCTTGAATTGTATTGCAATTGTAATCTGTTGGTGCTATATATATATATATATCCTGTATTATAATACTAATTATGGCAAACATACCTCCTTGTTTGTCCCCTTTAAGTGATGAGAGGTCTGCACTCCCCCTCATTGCTCCTTCTCAGCTCAGGTACTCTCAGCACCTGTAAGATGCTCACATGTTGCAGTAAATGTCAGGAAAGGAGGAAAATAAGGAATTCTGACTGCATTGGTTATTCTAGGTTAGTGAATCTGACTAGGGGCGGTTTGTCTCTCCACACGAATTTCGAAATATCACGTTCAAGATTGAGAAAGAGAGCTCTAGGCAATGTTATTGGGATGGTCTGGAATAAATATAGCCATCGGGGTAGAACGTTCATTTTAATTAGAGCCTCTCTTCCAAACCAGGTAAAGGTCAGGTTGCGCCAGTTTTTTAATATCTGTATTGATTTTCGTGTGGAGAGGCAAAAAAAAGAGAGGGCTTCACCCTCCTGTTGTTGATGTCTCTGGTCGAATTTGGGTTTTGGCTGGCCCATGTGCGTGGAAGTGGACGCCATGTTAGAGGAGCGCGAATCCGAGGTCTCCGTTCTCGGCCGGATGATATCCGGTATTTGCTTGACCGGCTGGGTCTCCGTTGTCTCTGGCGGTGGGGAGGGAGGTAGAGGCTTCCCAATCTTTACCATCTTGATTGTTAGGGGGTGAAAAAAGGCTAGTGAGGCGTGCTTGGTGTCGGAGCTAAGCTTTTACGCAGCCATCTTGTCCAAAGCGTAAGCCACGCCCCCCGGTAAGGGCAGTCTTTGTGTTCTTCTCAGCACAGATTTCCTTTAATGTGTATTACAGCTAGTGTAAAAACCTATACCTGTACTGATATCAGCCTCTTGTAATTCTCTCTACAGCAGCATCGTCGGTCTACTGAGACTGCCTTCTTAGGTTCCAATAACAGGCTGGAAGATGAACAAGCTGTATTGGTTTTGGTAGGTTTTTTCACATTGAAATATTACCAATTTACAAATTAGTTGCAGTTTCTAAACCTCCAAGGGCTGTTAATATAGACAGATGAACCAGGCAACTAGAATAGTTGGCCATCTGTGCCCATCCTGTTATGGTCAGCAGGAGCCATACTGTGTCTGCACCCAACACTGAAAGCTAGGAGAAGCGTGAACGGAGATATAGACACGCATAGTTACTATTTGTTTTTCTTAAAGATGACCTAAGCTTCAAAAAAATGTGCTAGCAAATAGAAGTTTTTGGTAGAAGACTTTGCATGTGTCCTGCCAAAAAAAAAAAACCCAAACATTTTCTATTACTTGTTTCAGGTCAACGACTCAGGAAGTATAGAAGCCATTAGATCAGTGTGGCAGCCTGGAAATAGCGGTTTCCACGGTCTCTCCCGCTGGCAAGAGACAGCAATTTTTGATATCCCTTGGAGGGATTCGTACACCAAATTGGCTATACACAGAGCCTTATTTACCACTAGGAGACTGGTGGCACAGAAATGAATATCCACCATCCCTCCCTCAGTATCCGAATGGATCTCCAAGTTAGATAAAACTGTAATGTTTGAACGCATTACCTATCAATATAGAGGGATGGGTGAAGATACATATTTTTTTTGCTCTGGTCCAGATGGCTACACTACCGTATAAGTTATGGGCACTCTATAATTTCTTCATGTTATTATTATATAGACATATGAAGGTCATACATGTGAGCTCAAGATGTAATTTGACTAATCCAGGTCCAAGTCTCTGTTTCTTTTTGAATTACATCACTATTGTAAATGTTTATATGTGTCTAGGTGATTTGACTAAAATGAATTAGTTCCTGGATACCGATTTATCGATATGTGCATATGGTGGATGTGGGGTTTCCTCTTTTTTTTGGCGTTATTGGTTTTGGTTGTTTCTGTATTTATATTGTATTTGTTGTTATATATTGTCTGTTTAAAGAAGAAAAAAAACTTAATAAAAACTATCTTAAAAAAAAAAAATTAAAAAGCAAATCCTCTGGCAAGTAAAAGAGTTCCCTTATGTGCCTATTCAGATGTTACCAAGGGGGTCAGCCCTGCAGGCTGCAACGGGAACACATACATTTGTTTTTGATTATGCATTAGCTCGTAAAACAAAGAAAGAAAGAAGGATGTACACAGAGGTGATAGAAAATTGTTCTTTTATTTTATAACATGTATAAAGTAAAACTTATATTGAAATACTGTGCAAACATATAAAAAAGTAGTCACAAAATGCATCGTACATTAATGATCAACATTAAACCTGCTCAAATCTGTGCATATGTACCATGGAAAGAATGAATATGAAAGCTTTAAAACATCAGTGATGCTTAGAGAAGCTGTAGTCAGCCATTTTGTTGGAGGTGTAAAGCCATGTGACTATAGGTAATGACTTCACTAGTGACATCAGTAGGGCGTAGCGAACTTGCACAGCCTCCTGATGCCTCCTAGGCCAACTCACAATGGCTGCCCCCTTATGTGTATCAGACAATTATACAAGGATAGATATTTTCAGGGTATGAGCTCGCTCTCTCGCTCCATGCCTTTTTATACACTTGTGACCAAAGTGCAGCTTAAAGAAGAAAAAAAATTCAAAACTTTTGACATTATGAATCAGAGATGCACTTAAAAGCAACTGAAACCTGCAGCTTCCTTTCTCATTTAAGTGCATCAAGTTAAAGTAGGCCTATATTTATCTACCCCAGCAAGACTTAGACGTCAGAGTATAGGTTCACCTAGTGCTGACATTTCACCTTTGGATAGTTGCTAGCAGCTGTAATCATCCCCTTTGCTTCCTAAACCTCTCAGGAGCTACAACAAAATGATCTCTGGACGTCGGCTTCCAACCCCACATACCTGTTCCAGGTTTGGATGCAAGCCCAAAGCCAACCAAAAACCTGAGATAAGAGCTGGACATGCAGGCACAATCCAGACATACCAGGGTTTGTGCATGAACCTGAACATCTGGCTTGTCTGACCATGCATGTTTATGCTGCAGAGCCGCGAGGAGACACCACCCAGACCAGTACAAGCTTATCTTAAGAACAGCCATAAGACAAGATTTTAAGTTTCAGTCCCCCCCCCCCCTCCGATTTGTTGGCCAGCTTTTTTTTTGCTGCCAGTGCCATTAAAACAGTTGCCAGAACAAGAGATAAGGCAACACTACTGATTAATCTATTTCTTTGGGATAATTTTGTCAGCGAGGAACAGTGGGGAGATCACCCTGTAGTCCTGAGAGACCCAAGAAAAGCAGTTCAACCCACCTCCTATAGCTGAGAAGTTAATTTTCAGTGAATGAAACCTTTAAGCAGCGATGACTTCAGTAAACATTGCGCTGGGACAGAAAGCAAGTTTTGCGCTTACCCTAAAAGATGTTCTAGTTCTAAAATCTCATCACAGTAAGTAAACTTATACATGTGCATACGTGCATTTGATTGGATTCTATGCACACCAAGAATAAGATACAGGGGTCATCAAGCTATGCTGCAGTAGTGCATGTCTCACCCGCACGCTGTGGCCTGTACAACTTGATACAGAGTTTTGTATAGTGGTATGCTATCAAACACTCTAATGTGAATTTCATTTTTGTTGTCATTAGAAGAATAACACTGAACATCATACAAACTATTGCTAACAGCACCTGAAGGGAAACTGGTTAATGTAAACGATTTTTTAGCACTTACTAAACTAGCAAGGGATATGAGCCGAGTGCAAGTGAAAGGAATTTATTTTTCCATACACTCCCAAATCACTACTGACTTCCGAAAAAACATGGCAGCAGTGTGTTCTAATAGGCAGAAGGGTCAAGGTGCAGACACAGTTGACTTGAATATTTCAAGGCTTATTCACACCATGTCCACTGAGCTGCGTTCTTCTACACACCACCGCACACGTATGATGTGAACAGGGCACTATGCTCATGGGCAATGGTGTGCCGAAAACTGCAGCTCGACAAACACGGTGTGGTCTGGAAACCTTACCGTAAATTGCAGTGAACCTGGTACCGGACCAGCAATGTTCTGAAAATAAAAAGCATAACAGGGGATTCAGAAAAAAAAATCCCAAACATTTTGAGGAAACAAGAGACCGGGCGCTACACCCTGAAGACCCGACAGTGCTGGAATACTTTGTATTTGCAGAAACAAGGTAGTGGGCCATGCCCGATTGTAGAAAGTAATGCATTTTAGGTACAGGTCCTCTAACAAATGGCAATAAGCTTTAAGGAGGGTGATAATACCCTCATTCAAAGGGAGACTTTATTAGTATTGTCCAATAACTATGTAAACTGCTTGCCAAATTTAGCAATTAAAAAAAAATAAAAAGTCCTACACAGCTTTATAATGTGCAGTGTGTAAATGGAATGGGATTAGCGTAACCATAGTTCTGGGATACTCAGAATATTAAGGTGACTTGTAAACCCAAAAAGTCAACGTCCACACTGCGATAAAAATGCGAAACGTCAGAACAAAAAAAAAAATGGCTATTCTGCATCCTTTTTTTTATGAACGGAACATATGGACAAAAAATGTTTGTGGGCCTTAAAAGGAAAACAAATGATCGATAGACCAGGATAGGGTTTTCCTGCATTTCATGCCTAGTTCCTGATGAAGTGTAGACACTCCACAGGGAGGCTGAAAACGAAGGCTTTGCCAGCCGTACAAGGACCTAACTAATGATATATCATTTGATAAATGTTAGCTAACCTTCAATGTACTAGAATGGTTAGTAGACGAGGGGTCTTTATATCTCGAGTCGGGTATAACACACCCCAACCTAACTCAGTTAATTACAAATCAGGCACCCTATAATAGCCAAAATAAAGCCACTTTGACCCAGGTAGTAATAAAAAGCTTACAACGCTTTGTAAGCGGTACTAGTAGCAAATCGGCTGAATTCATAAACACACACACTGTCCTGGCAGCACCACCGACAGCGCTGCACAAGAAAACCTGCATTCAACCGTCTTCTCCAGTGCAAAACAACAGCAGATAACAATTACAGGAAACAGAATCCTCGTAAAAGTCTTTCAGTCACCGCCACTGTTGCTTCACAGACCGCATTTCCATTCGGCTAATCAGACTCGCGTCCATCATGGAGTGAAGGCGACTTGTCATCACGGTTCTATCCGGCGACATGCCACGAACTTATAACAAGAGAGATACATGCTCTGCCGACCGCAATCACTGCACGGGGGCTGAGGCTTGTGGCAGAGCAATGTCGCTTAAGCGGCTGACTTCCATCTGCCAAGTAGGAAGCTTTTTGTTAGAGAGGTGTCGCCTGGCGTGCTTGGTCAGGTGATCGCTGCGCATAAAGCGACGGTCGCATTTTGGACACGCAAACTTCTTTTCACCGGTATGCGTGCGGCGGTGACGGGACAGTTCGTCAGAGCGAGCAAATTTTCTTTCGCAGCCTTCCCAACTACAACTGAAGGGTTTCTCTCCTGTGTACAAGAAACAAGAAAATAAAGAAAGAGTTACATGAATTCAGAATGACATCATTCAATCCTGATGTACAAAGTACATATCATGACAAGTGATTTAGAAGACACAACCTATACTCCTGCCAGGCATTCCTTCCTGAAATATATGTTTATTATCAACTTCATGGCTGATGTCATTGTATTCTAATGCCATGGATAAAGAGAAGCAATAATGAGGTGATTTGTCAGTTATAAAAATACAACTTAAATGGTAGAAAGTGTTTTTATTTGGAGCAAAATGTATTTTCTATGCATTGCAACCAATAAAAATTGAATGTGTCCTTGGATTTCAGTTTCAAGTTTTGTTTCTCTCTCGCCTAAGAAAACTGGTGGCTCTGGTGAAGACTTGCTTGAACAAGATGGAGATATGTTGAATCCCCTGATCTATGGTATAAGGGATGCACCGATACAGATACTAGTATGGGTACTGATGCCGAGTATTTGGGCGAGTACTCATAGTTGCCCAAATGCTCCTGTTGCCTATCCTAAAACTTCCGGTATCAGTAAGCCAGGCGGCGTTACACGCTGCTCGGCTTCTTGATTGGCCAGAAAGCCGGCTCAATGCTCCCTCGTCACCAGGGAGCATAGAGACTGCTTCCCGGCTAATCGGGAAGCCAGGCAGCGAGTCAATACACACCCCCCGGCTTCCATAATGGGACTTCTGGTATGGGCGGGTACCAAAAAAAAAAAAAAAAAAGAAATCGGTACATCATATTGGAAAACCCGGTACCGGTGCATCCCTACATGGTATGCTACAAATTAAAGGCTCTGCTTTAGGTCACCTAAATGGAGATTGTTTTTAAGCAACTACAATTCTCGGCATGCTGTCACCCATTGATTATTAGGAGCATGCCCTTTCCCCAAAAGACAGCTATCAATACACTGCTAGTGTACGATTCTCCAATCCATGGTAAACAGCGTGGATGGGGGAATCCCCCCGGCAGCCTATGGTTACAGAACAGCTGTGGCAGTGCTGCTGTCAGAATACCCAAACAGTGGCTGCAGCCAATGATCAACTGAAAACGTTTGAACCGCCTCCTTCAAACAGCAATCCCAAGGAGGTCATACACTATTCAAATTTCCTCCAAGTCAGTAGCACTCGACTCCTTTGAGCAGTGTATGGCCAGCTTTACACAGACCTGCTTTTGCTGAAATGTTAACAGTGCTAAAATAGATATGTTGGTTTCTGACAATGCTAGATGTCTGGCTGACATGCTGATCCAATGGCTCCAAAAAAGACGACGACGACACACACACACATCCCAGTTCCTTTGCGTGTTGCCTAAATTAATCAGGTTGGATAATGACAGTGGAAGACCAAAAGTTTGATTATGATTGGTCACTAAAGACAATACAGACTGCCTCAGAAAGTTTCTACAAAGCTTTATGGGAACTGAGGTCTACCAGTTAAACACGTACCTGTGTGAGTTCTCATGTGGGCTTTCAGGTGAGAGCTCTTGAAGTACGTCTTCCCACACCCAGGCTGGTTGCAGACGTGGCTTCTTATGCGGGATGCATCCATAGGAGAGGAAAATTTGGCTTCGGAAGCAGAGACTCCAGGTGCTGGTGCTATTGGAGACAATCTGGTTCCGCTGGTCAACAGAGTCTTTGCATTGTGCAGTAGCGGCTGGGGCATCAAAAACATCACCGTCCCTTTAGGCACCTGTGTTCCCATGTAGAAGACAGACTGCATGACTGCTTGGGGCTGGGCAGGAGTGCTTGCCATCACTGTTGTCAACATCGAATTGCTTGAAGAAAAGGGGACCATTTGACAAAGGACTGGCACCTGCGGCACTGCATTTGCTGTTACCGGCGTGGACACCAGCATTGGGGGTGATGGGACCTGCACTGGAATAACGCAGGCATCGGGGGAACTGGGCTTGCCATTGCAGGCCTGAAGAGGAACAAAAGGGACGCTAGAATAGTTACTGCTTGCAGGCAAGTAGGAAGGGGGAACCTGCGTTTCAGTCTTGATTTGCTCAGGAAGAGGCGGTTTATATTCACCAGAATGCACAACAGAACTTTGATGCTGAGTGCCAATGCCTGCGTCATGAGCGTCGCAATTCTTCGGTGTAAACACACGTTGATTGCAGAACTGTGGGTCCGCAGTATGACGGATGACGCTCGTCGCCTGGGCTTTCTGATGGGTTGGTGCAATATCTGGGGTTGTGCTGGCGACAAGCTTACACTTCTCGGTACCTGGAGACACTGGATTGATGCTCGGGGAATGTGACATTTCAAATTCGGGAGGGCTGTATGGAGGGGTCAGACACTGGAAGCATGAAAATAAAAAGGCTTGGTTACTTCATGGCTGTACATCATTTACAACACAGTCCATTTAAATATTAAAAGGACACTAATGGGAGCCTGGACAAATCCCAGGAGCCACGCAGCACATGCCACTTAACAATTTACAGCTGAGCCCAACCTTTGAGTCTCTCTAGTTGTCATCTAGTTGTCTCCTAAAAAACATCCTGCTTGCTCCTTGCTTTGCCCTGAGGGGTATACTGTGCAATGAAAGGAAACAATTGTCTCCTCTAGCATCCAATCAGAATCTCTTGTTAACACGTCCGTGACCCGAGGTTTTGATGCTTAGATGCCCAGACCAAGTTTAGCATCATTAGGTTGTGTCATTTAACATGACAATAACTCTATGACTCTTTTTTAGTATGACATCCAGCCTTAGAACTAGCAACACACACAGTTGCACATTCCTAGTTCTTTGCCGCAAGGTTAATTAACATTGTCATGGCAAGTGGCATTTTTTATGTGGACTTTACGGGTCACTGGAGGGTCAATTTCCAGTACAGAGATGTCTCCACATGCTTCTGTCCCTCAACCCTTACGGCCCATTCACACCACATCCAGATCATCTCCAGAGCAGACCAGATGGTTTCCAAACCCAAAATGCATCCTAATGTATCCCTATGCTATGTCTGGCCTCTGTTCACACCAGCGCAGTCCATCCCAGATCACACTAGAAAAATACTGCGTGTCACATTTTGTCTGGTCTGGAATGCACTGGAACTGCGGGCAGGTTCACACCATTTTCCAGACCAGATCTGGTCCGGAAAATGGTGTGAACCCGCCCTTACTCCCTGCATGTGGAGTCTTGCTTCTCTTGCTACACCCTCTGCGATATAAAATAAATAAAAAGTTGAAATAGTGAGAGAAGACACCTACTGACTGTTGGTGATACATCAGAGCTGGACAAACCCCAGGAACCAGGTTGCCAATACTCAAAGCTACACAGCTGGTGTCCGACTTTTGAGGTGCTCTCTTTTTTTTGTCAATGGCGCAAGCTCCTAAACTAATCCTGCTGGCTCCTGGATTGGACAGACTGGCTCCAGAATGCCATATGAATTTGTCCACCCCCGATATATATAAAAATTTAAAATACCCGCCACAGCGCCCATGTACTGGACAGGTCTGAGTAATACCGTAACTCAGCATGCTAGCTAACAAAACCAACTTACAAAAGGCGGCATGGCGTTCAATTCGGCTGTGATCATGCTGTCTTCGTTCTCGGAGAGATCGGACGCTGGGGTGATCGGCCTTAGATCAATGTAACTTTTGGGCTCGGTTTTCCATCGGTTGCTCATGTACATGAGAGCTTCCACGGCCTCCACATCACCTTTCTCTGCTGTGGACTTCCAAGGAGCTCCCCCATAGCGCTGAATACCATATAGGTCCACTCTGTCCATCTAGGAAAACAAAGAACATCCAGATTATTCACTTTTGTGTACTTACTGCAATAAATAAAGACAGGAACCCGAGTGATAAACATTGCACTGGTTCCAAAAATCCTCATTTTTCTTATGAATAGTAAAAATGTAATCTTTTAAAATTAAAGCCCAACTCCGAGCTGCTGAAACATATAACCATACGGTAGGGCTGTCCCCCTCCACACGGGTTAAATGCTCATTTTGTCCTCACCCCACCAGCACTGATCATGTGAACGACTCCTGGGGCATCGGTCATGTGATCACTACCGAAGAAAGGCTCAGACATTGAGAAAGACCTGGCCAATGTGGATTCCCCTTTGGCAGGAACCTTGTGACCAAGTCCGGATCACATGACTGGCACCTTAGGGTGTCCCAAGTAGAATTCCAGGCAAAAGGAAAGTTTTTAGAGTTCTATACCTTCTCAGTTATAGAAGAGGAACTTTACTTTAAATATACCTCGGAAATTACTTCCAACCAGCTCAGCTTTATTTGTTAAACGTTTGTATTTTTACCAGCAGCTTATTTTTATCATCTCAGGGACTCCAGTAGGCGGGCGGCCCTTGTAACCTGAACACACAGGAATCCCAATCACATAGGAGAAGCAATGGCAACCAATCAGCACCCACCTTTCATTTTCAAAGCTTAACATACAGAATGGAGAAGCTGATTGGTTGCTATGGGCAACTGCTTCAGATTTTGATACATTTCTACCAGTTTATGAAAATCTATTTCCTTTATCCAGAAACTCTGTGACTTGTAGTTCCACAACTGCGGAGAAGCAAATGTCCTCCCGAATGTCTTCCCAGCCCCCATCCCTACTACCATGACCGTGTTGTGATCTTTGGTGCACATCTAACCTTGGAACCTTCTGTGGCTCCATGCCTGAAATATGTACCAGGGTTACACTGGCCACGCGATGTAGTGTTACAGGGATCTACAGTTGGGATTATTAGACAACAGCCAATTAGCCTGCGAGCATGTCTTTGCACACGCAGAACACGCAAACTCCATTCATGCCCG